TGTCCCCCCTCCAAAGCTTGGGACAATGGTGCAAAAATGGGTTTGATTTTTCACTTTTAAAAAAGTGGGAGAGGAATCTGGCTTCAAGTTGTTCAGCCCAACAAAGTTCAGGGAGGGAATTAGGATCAGGATTTGGATTCGGGCCCATCGCTAATATGAAGTATCTCACCCCTTTGATCTCCTTGTTATTAACACAGCATGCAATATAACGTTTCACTCAGCATGGGGAGGTGTGACTTTCTGAAGTTGCATGCAGCAGACTAATATTGCATTCAATTAGAGAACAACAAAAAACATGCAGCCTTGTAGTCCAGACACTGCTGTATGACAAACAGTGCGTGCAACGTTATTCTAATTCAATCCAGTGTATAACTACACTCATGCATGCAACATGGTAGTGAAGACTCATTATACCATAACAGATTTCACAATAAGCATACAAACATACTAGATGAACTGCAAACATTGCACATGTTGCAAAAATATTTTACCTGATTTTTTTTTATATAAAAAGTCTGAGGGTATGAATCGCCTGGCCACACAGCTTTAAGAGTGGCCCCTTTCTGTGACGATGATGGTAGGTTTCAGATGAGCTTAGGACCACTTGCCAGCTGCAGTTAGCTCAGTAGTCTGGCCTGCTAGTCCGCCTGCTCCTCCTCTATGTTGAAAATGAAATGCTTCTGTTCATCTTGCTGTCCAAGCAAGTTATCTTGACTTCGCTTGTGTTCCAAGAATTGTCACTGGATAATTAATGATGCAACATGTGGATTCAGCTGGCTTTTATTTATCATTATCCGTAACTGCTGACCCTTGGCTTGCACATCCATTCACTTGCTCAAAAATTCACATGACATTACATTCATTATACAAAAGAATAAGTACAGTGCAACTGGTTAATGCTACCCTAGATCTCCTATTTCTCCTGTAGTGAAAGCATCCTGAAACTTAAATGTACAATGATAAAGGAAAAATATTCTTATAAATTAGCCATTGCTGTTCATTTTGCCTCAAAACACTCCCCACATTAGGACAACAATTCCTTTTGGCAGGCACCAGTGAGGTTATTAAGACCTGATGAAGAATATGACAAGTGAAAGTGCTTGCTCATTCCTTTCACACAAGGGTAAATTTATTGCTAGAAGTTTAATATTTAAATTTATAAAAAGTGAAAAAGGAAAACAAAAACAAGTCACTTGCAAGGTACAACAGCATTAAATGGCACAGATTGAGAGTAGCTGTGATTTTTCACATGACTGTGACAAGAAAGGAAAGATCCCTGACCAGATGGTTTACACTGAGGCTTCCCTCCAGTTCCTGGAGTTGCAGGCACAGTTTTTCATTTGTCAGAGACTGCTACATGCATATGCACTGATATATATGCTTTCCTAATGTATTAATTACAATGGCTGGGATTTTCAATGCCATTCAAGAGACTGGGCGACCTTTTCCCATTAACTTCTCATGTCATATGGGTGTCAAATTCACTAGATAACCGGAGATCTTAGCCAAATTCATAAATAATTTCTAAACGTTCACCCAAGGATTTAAGTGCCCTTCGCAACCACTAATTAATTCATTTAACTGCACATGTTTTATGTGACTGAGACTAGTAACTTCTCCAAAGTAATGCCCAGCGTTTGCAGCAGAGCCAGAGACTACAGAACTCGCCCGTGACTGAGCCACAGCAGCTTCTTTCTTCTCGCAGTTGGTGTCGCTCTGCAGACTTTGGGCGTTTAGTTTCTACTCAGGGCCAGCAGAGAGGAGAAGTGGCACACGCAATAACCAAGAGTCAGAAAAAAAGGTAAACATGGGATTCTCAGTTACAGACTTCCTATGTTTGAGCTCTGCAACATGGAGGAAAAGCAAGGGCAAGAAAGTGAGCAGGGACAGGGACGTGACGCAGCGCTAGAAAGGGAGTGAGTGTGTGTTTTTATGTACCAAGCAGTAAGCATGCCTATGAGGAAAGGCCATTTCCAGACTTCCACACTGAATCAGATAACTTGGCTCATCTGCATAATACCAGAAGTAATAATGGCCCAAGATGGATCAGTTTCTTCTGTGATGGGTTGTGCTAAGGAAGTCTTGGGAAAAATGGCCTCAGATTAAGCAAGAGTAACAGATGCCTATATACTCAAATTACAAAGCCACGGGTAAGGGATCAGGGTTGCCTAGACATCTGTTTCTGCAGTTATGGGAAACATTATAGCCACGTTTACACAGCTCCACGTATAAAATAAACTTTTACTGCAGCTTTCCAGCTATGGGTCTAGGCTCCTCAGCTTGGGCAGTCACAGTTAACATTTCTAGACCTGCAGACTTAAGCCTCAGCAACACTCAGTCGCGAGCAGTCAGGTTATAAGGATATTTTACTTGCTGGTGGTGAGTTGCAGAGAAATCAGCAACGGAAATTCCTTACCCAGCAGGCCTGCTTTTAAAGGATATAGAGCTCAGACTTATCTAACCAAGAAAACTGATAAGGAGGTTTTAGCACAGCTATAGACAAACTGTGAGACAATTATTACCCTCAAGCAAATGTAGCTTTGAGACACTTTTGGTTTGTACATTCATGAAGGGCTGCATGGACCAATCGGTGCGAGGTGTCTTCTTGTGAGGGAATTGGTGCCTGTAATAGCAGACCATCAGCCTTATTAATTTAGTACACACCGCAAGGCTTATGTTATGTTTCTTAATGCACATGAGCAAGTTAATGAGCAAATATGAATTTTAGGATTCCTTAGTAAAAATCAGGCTTGTATGTGAAATGCTACATGATGAAGCGTGGCACAGACTGTTTCCAATAGGTATTTCAAACTTTAGACATGGCATGGGGATTTCTAGAAACAGATGAATTAATGAATAATGAAGATTAAGATGCTAGATCCTGATTTAAAATTCATCTAAAAACTCCTAACTTCAGAAAAGTTTTAGATCAGGAATTACGCGATCAGAATGAGGAGCTAATCATTCATCATTATTTTATGATAAAGAGAAAATTGCAAATGCAAAATTAACAACACACAGGAAAATACGGGTCCCTGTTCGAAAAAATATCCTGTGCTCTAGATGTGGTCAGAGGAAGATGAGCCAAGAAAATGCCCAGCAAGTAGTCAAACATGCTGCAACTTCAACAGAAAAAAATTATAATTCCAAGTCTGTTACACAGTAAAAGCCAAAAAGCATCTATGTACTGAAAGAACTGTAAGACAGTGACACTTTGTTTGTGCAGACCATATTGCTTTAGATCAGCAAATATGGTTAAGTATTAATGGTACAGTTGTGCCTTTAAGCTAGTTAAGAAAAATAAAATGCTATCCCAATGAAGACATACAGCGAAAGAGACACTGCAGAAAAACAAAGCACAATTTGGTCCACCTTCAGGTACAGAATACAAAACCAGTAACTATCACAGCGGTTTTATAAGACAGTATCGTTTAATCTCCAAATGTTAAAAACAGATGTGCCACCTGCTTTGCAACTAGAAGTCTGCCTAGACATGAAACCATTTTAAAAGGTCACTGTTGCAAATACCACAGAAATGTACATTGTGAGTTCAAAACAGCACACTAGGAATATTCTCAGATACTTCCATAGTCTAGATTGTCTGAAAGGAAAATCCAGAACTCTACCATTTATCTATCCTTGTACTTTTTTGCCCCTCATGAACACAGTATCTTGACAAAATAATAATTAACATTTTGTGAGGACTCACAGGGTTCAATTCAAAGCTCATGTATGCAAATGTAACTCAAAGTCAATGCAAAGATACTCGTATACAACAATTCTGCACATAGACCATCAGAATGGCATCTAAATTAGCAACAATAATTCTCATTTAATAACAGAAATACTCAGCTGTCTAAGATATTGCAACGGTTCATGAAAGACCACCAGCAACTGGACAACGCCTCAAAGAGCTGAAGTTCACAACTTCTTAAATTCAAGCATTATATCCAACTCATATCACTTTATATTTGTTCCTCTGAAAGGGATTGTTTCATTACTTTGCTACCAGAATTTGGCTATGATAATTTGAAACTGTGGTCTCCGGTTGCTAGAAGATGCCAACACCAGTCCTCCAAAGGCAGTGAGCTCAGCCTTTCAAGTGCAAATGCCTGCAAAACACTATTTACTACAATTCTCAGAAAATATCTTTTAGAAATAAAATAATTAATGGATATTTCTTAAGAGAACACAGTATTTATATACTGCTTTTGGAACACTGTAGTGATAGGTTTAAAAAAAGAACTGCAATGAGAACCTGTATAAATTTATCACTCATTATGAGGCGTCAGGAAAAGCCAACAGACTTCCATTTGTCTTTGATTCCTTTCTGCTGCCTTTCTTTTCATTTTCATACCTTTTCTATGGCTAATTTGTAATCTTGTATCTTTTCATAAAAATCTACTACAAATACCTAAAAATGTGAGGCTCCAAATCAGCTCTCTAGCCTAATTTTGACAAGCACGTTGTAGGTTTTAGGCACATTCTAATTCTCATAGGCTTGAATGTCACTGAAGTGGTGTCCAGATAAGTGCCTTCTTGGGCAGCACCATTCCTTTTCTATGGCTAATTTGTAATCTTGTATCTTTTCATAAAAATCTACTACAAATACCTAAAAATGTGAGGCTCCAAATCAGCTCTCTAGCCTAATTTTGACAAGCACGTTGTAGGTTTTAGGCACATTCTAATTCTCATAGGCTTGAATGTCACTGAAGTGGTGTCCAGATAAGTGCCTTCTTGGGCAGCACCATCCACCCCCCCTGCCATAATTTTCTAAAGCGGGGCCTGGCACAGCAAAAGACCAGGAAGAAGATATCCTTTAAGTCTCTTTGGAGCTGTATTAATATCAGGTAAGAGATTTACCTGTAAAAGCAAAATAAAAAAAGTGGACTTAAGGTACCTGAAAACTATTTACTATGCATTTCGCCATTTTCCTGGCCTCTCCTCTTTGGGGATACAGTTAAGAAGTTACTTTAAAATGTATTTATACAAAGTCTTACCTTGTAATCTGTGTTCTAGTATTGAAGTCAAGAGATCTCATTGAGCGTAAGACTTCTATACACCCCAAGTACTGTAGGTTTTAGGGAAAAAGAAAAAGTTATAAAAATTATTATAATTATTGTGGAGTTCTAGGAGAAAATGCAACTAATCATTAAAAGGCATTCTACAGCCCTTATTTTTACATCTGATTTATCCTATGTGTCAGCCAAATTTCTATTATTATGTTCTTGTATGTCACAGATTTGCTTCATAAACATTTTACGTCATTTAAGTCTCAAGTTTGCCTCAACATATCTTTTTATGCCTAATCTAATCATTGTAATATACCTAGTTCTTAATGGGCTGAAGCGTTGTTCGTTTTCACCTATCTTAATTGATCCATTTTGGATATAAAGCTATTCAAAGTAAAAATAAAATCAATGTAAAAGGAAATGTGGTAGAGTAAAACCATCTAGCACTGGTTAGTTGAAAAATATTATTTAAGGGGGAGAGATAAGGCTTAGCGCAAGAAAGGTCAATTAAGGCTGAAAAGAGCACCAGCAATCCAAAAAGGATTCCTTAAAGATCAGCTCAGGAATTAATGTGATTTAATATCTTAATTAATGACACTAGTATAAAGATATGGGAAAATGCTAATAAAATACGTTAATAACACACACTGGGAGATGGCTTCAACGGAGTCATTCAAGAGAGGAATGACACAACAGGTTGGCCAGTGTTAGGAAAAGACTAGACTTACTGACTTAGAAAGTCTCTTTCTGTCCTATATCCCAGTGAAAAAGAGGGAAAAATATGTTAAGATATATGTCTATCCTAGGATTAAGAAAAACTCAGGTGCATCTTATGGATTAGCTTCCAAAAGCAGATGTGATTTGCATGTGAGAAAGTCTACATGCAGCTACAGATTTCATCAGATATTTGTGTTGTGGCTTGTACCACAATCTATCCTTTGCATAAACCAGCTCACGACTGGCATATCCCATGGCAGTAGCTTTGCACACATATTAAGTGCTCAACTACTCACCCGACTTTTGGAAGTCAGGTGAAATAGGGATGGGTCTTCAGATAATGGGCCTGATAATGCTATTCCAGTATTGTGTTTTAATAGCAGTGTAACATCTATTTGCAGCATAATGCAACCTATTTGGGTATGAAACTGGTGCAAAAAAATCAAGTGAGGCCAGTATTTTTTGGCCACCTGGGATTTTTTTTGTATTGCTTAACAACGTTTTGATTAGAGAATTATCGCATTGCTAGCTATACTATCTATAATTTCAACGATGCTTTTTCTAAAGAAATCTATCTGTCACAAGCTGTTTGCAAGTTGAGGGAGTTTCTTGTTTGTTTTCATGTGTACAATATCATTTAATTTATTCATATCAAATGTCATGAAGACATCATGAAGCACTAGAACGCTGAATAAAATAAACTAGAAGACTGAGTGACTCCCATTAGTTAAATTACTCAAATTTGGATTACAATAGCCTGCAGTTTCTGGGAAAGATTTTAAGATTTATTTCCTAGATTTTTAGAATTCCCTTGCACCTCATCTTCTGTTTTTTGAAAAGTTTCTAAAATCCTCATGGAAAACACCTTGTACGTAGAGATCACGGCACAAGGAACTTTCAGGCTAAGAGTCATACCCTCAGGCTCTTTAGAGTATCATCACTCTCCTATCACTGCAAACTATGTATTTGGTAACGCCTTGCACCTTAATACAATTAGATTCCTTTCTTACATATACTTATTCTGACTGAGTACTTAAAGCATCCAGAACAACCTTTTCATGCTCTGATGCAGGAAGTTAAGCCATTATCTCTATTGTTAAGTGTCTGAGGAGGTTACCTGATTTTCTTGAAGTTCATTAAACATCAGTTGAAGCAATCAGCTGAACTCAGTGAAGTTATGCCAATATACAGCAATGAAAGATGTTTTCCTATACTCTTTATGTCATTTTGTTTTAGTCCTGTGATCTTTTAATAGATCATTTCCTCAAATATTTATTCAATTTCAGACATTTTCATAACTAAATACGCTGTAAATTGGTATAACTATTCAAAGGTATCCTGTTGATTGTTTGTTACAGAGATACTTGGTTTTGATTACTTCTTCAACCTGTTCGCTTAGATCACTCAATATTCAAATGCTCTTGGATGGCACTTGTTCCTTCGCTTATCTGTATTTGCCACAAGTCTTTTAAAGCTAAATAATCAAACAATTTTGAGAACCAGGCAGGTCCAACTTTTTAGAAGCAAACTCTGAAAGGTAATTTGACAAGTACATGCAGGCGTGCAAATAAATACACAAACACATGTGCACACAAAGCACTGTCAAAATAAACACACAAATCATTAGACAAATACCCATAGACGTACTCAGAAGGCGTGCATTTAGACTCCTTTGAGTCATACTACCTGATCTGCATTAACAAAAGTAGAGACAAAACCAGACTGAAGGAAGGTCAGATGGAAAAATTATCCTGTACTTGCTTTATGCGTAGCATGGAGACAGCTGAACACAACATAGTAAGGCTGCAGTATTCCTGACTGGCCAAGGCAAAGATGGTAACTGATTTTTTGGGATAAAAGATGTGAACACTTAACCACCACGGCATGTTTTCAAGTAACAAAATTACTATAAATACTGACATTCAAAAGGTCCAAAGGCCAACTACAGGGACATATAACTCACCTACTGCTATGCTTCAATTATTCCCCAAGACCAACATTGATCTCTAAAAATATCCATTTGAAGTACATCCTGACAAGGATCCACAGAAAGAAGACATACAACCAAGATAGCAAGTAAATAAATTATTCATTTATTTCAACAAATAAATATACTGATTAAAAAGAAATGCTATCTTTTGCTTTAGGCATTCCATGAAACATTTAAAATATAGTTAAAAAACAGACTACTTCTGAAACAGCTCCTCTTCATCCAGTGCTTAATGTATACGCTAACCAATCAGCTACAGTGCACTGTGGTATTTATGAGCTCCCGCTAGCATCCTCCCCCTCATTGCTCAGGAAACAAATATGCCAAGACGCAGCCCGCCTTGAAGTAGGATAATTTAGGACTACCACTTCCAAACTCTCCTAGATAGAACCCTCTGCCTTCTGTCTACTTTCTTATATTTGAATGAGATTCCAGCTTGTATACCTTCATTGAATGGTATTAACGCCCTGAGGAACAGTCTTTCAGGTGAATGAATCTCTTCCCATTTAGAGGTTTTGGACTTGTAACTAATACTTTGCATTCCAAGCAGTACCTTGTAGGGAGCTAATATAAATCTAAAAGCACAGTGTCACATACTCCTGGAATCAAGCATCTCTTACTGCATGGGCTTCCAATATCTTTACTAGTTATAATTCCTCCAGGTAAATGTAACAGAAGGCCATAAATCTCAGGTTTCTACAGTTTGCCCCATAGGTGAGCACCTCTTCCGTATTCCCTAAGGTATCTCTGTCTTCTCTCTCGTTCAGTCAGGAAATGCTTGTTCGACAACCAAATTTTGTATTGTACCCTGTGTAAGAAAGGGTATTGAGTTTTCTCACTGTTTATGTGAAACAGGCAGTTCAACAGATGAGCGTTGAGTGCGTTCATGTGCTTGGAGAGAAGAGAAAAGGCAAATGAGGGTAGACGCTGTGCGAGTCGCCTTTTTGCTCTGCAAACACGAACAACCTTGTGCAGTGTTTCATAACAAGCTCATTCAGAACACCAAGTTCCTGGAAGAAATCTTCCAATATTTGAGTCAGAAGCTGGCAGTAGCAATAAAAATTTTTATAAAAATGTAGCAAGATGTAGCCACATACAGCACTGCAGTAGTCCAGTCTGGGAGTGATAAATGGCAGGGGGAGACTGTATCCAATATATTTCATGTATCTAATAGCAACTGGGCATACGCCCAGAACACAGGTAGTGCTAATAGCTACTGGTCACCCACTCAGACAAAGCAGACTCCTATTCTCTGAATCTGAACTGCTAGAACTTCATTAGCTCACCTAAACTATATGGCTATTCCTAGTAAATTAAGATAGGCCAGTTTTAATCCATGTAACTCGATGACAGTCATCAAAGCTGGGTGGCTTAAAATATTGCAGATTGTACTCAAATACACAGAGCTTTGTGCAAATTAGGTAAGAGAAAGCTTGGTTGTACCAGCAAACAGACGTGCACTTGGCATAGCTTGCCATAAATTAACCAGCGCCTACAAACACTGAGGTACCTGAAGTCTTCTCTAGGATAGCACAACTGCTGATAATAGCTTGGGGGCTCAAGAATAGCTTCAGCGTCCTGGGGTTCTGGGTGGTATATACAGATCTAGTTTTTGAAAACAGAAAGCTCTGAAGTATATTATAATCTGTAATAAGTCGGTCAATGCATTGCAAGTTCTTAACCCTCAGGCTTAAATTGTGCTTTTATTTGCAAAGTATGCAAAAGTGAGCATCTTCTTACTTGCCACATCTGTTCCTCATGTGTATTTAGAGTCATAGCCGTACATTTTCATGATTCGATTTTTTTTGCTGCATTTTACTCTTGTTGGCAAAAGGGCTTGTCCAAAACGAAAGTATATCATGAAAGTAAATTGCCGGATAGTATGAACTATTGCTAGTTAATTCCAGTTAAGGACTTATTTTAAAATGAGAGCTTTTATTTCCTATTCTGATTAACCTGCTTCTATTGCAACATGCATTTATTTATGCATTGAAATGACAGTTCATTCCAATCTCAGGTGTCACCACTAAGAGCCTCAGGGCAAGGGGCTTGTGAAAAGAGCAGTAATAGATGTTCCACAATACTTACAACACTTCAAGTTTGCAACTTACCCTAAACCATATTGAGTTTAAAGTCTAGATATACCCTAATGAGCAGGGCATAATATGAAACTAGTGACAGCCTAGGACTTGATTTCAAGATAATAGGTTTGTCCACATGTAACTGAGGACCCTATTCAGGAGTTTTACTATTGGTATTGAGGCATAAAAAGAGGGGACAAAACAAAAGCAACCAAGTCCCAGTCAGAGCGCGCAGGGTTGACAATTGCAAGTATCTTACAAAATGAATTTTTCTGTTTAGCAAATAAATGAGAAGCAATAAGCAGTAAATCTTTTGCTCTCATTTTATACTATTTTTCCAGTTTAACTAAATTTTCAATGCCCACTTTTTAAACCACTGCAGTGAAAAAACCCCAAGGAACTGCAACCAGAATGTTTACCCTTTCAACAAAATAAAGTAAAAATATAGCAGTAAAATAAAATAATAAAAAAATGCCACAATACTTAGTAATTTATTTGATCTTGCTTTAACTGAACATTACCTTGAATACGTAATCACAAAAAGACATGCTAGCTTATCACAATACACATTTGCTCATTCATTGCATAAGGAGATCATAGCTTAGTTATACATATTTAATAGTATACATAGTACCCTTTAGCAGCAGATCTAATAATTTTGTGAAGACCAGTGTTCTCAATAGCAGTGTTATTATTCATTAAAGCATTAAAGTTTTTTGAAGAGAAAAAAAGTGAGGAAACCAATATACAATCCTTGCTAATCCATAACATAACCCTCTGACTGGCTGCTAACAGTCACTTCACAGTATCTATCCATTAACAGAGGCAGCAAGAAGTGACTGACATCTGTGTGAAAAAATACAGTAGCAATACAGTCTTTGCTGTTTTTAAGGCAAACGGCATACAGAGTTCTACCTAAAATTTGGAATACTTAAAGAAGCTATCCTTGCTGTTACCCATAGCAAAATACTTTACCGTAGAACAGCCTCTTACTTCAAAAGAACGCTGTAAAGATATTGGCACGTGGCAGGAGGACTTTTCCTTCCACATCTTCAGGAAGAAAGGCAACGTTTTGCAGATGTTTGCTTGACGTTTTTGCAGACAGCTCCGCTATCCTGACTGAGGCAGTCTTTATTAAGGAGGACATAATGCATTCACACGAGTAGCTTTGCTACTTTCGCTTTTTAGATTTTACATAGAGTTCACACCCCTGCGTCAGGCTAGCTGATCTGATCCACGTGGGAGGCACAGAGGGCCTGGAGGCACCACTCTGCGTCTGGATAGCTATGGGAATCCTCTTCCTATTAGGGAGCAGTGGCTCCACATCCTGCGCACAGTGAATGGCCCATGCATTGAAAACTATAGGCTTTCCCTTTACCTACAATAATAATACAATAATATTACAATAATATTTGTGAATTACAATAATATTTGTGAATCCCAAACCACCTGGTCTGCAATAGGAATGAAAAACAGAAAGAAGGAAAGAGGACAAGAAGGAAAAGAAGGAAAAGAAGGAGGGAAGGAGAAGCAGTGTGCCAAAAAACTCTGAGGATGCGTTTCATATTATCCCAAACATAGCAGGCTTTTTCAGGGGCTATCCTCTTAAGCACAGTTACCTCTGACTGCATTCATTTGCTAATACGCTTTGTTTTTAATGAGGGCTGACACTGACCTGTATTTACAGTTCTCACGTTTGTACAAAATATTGTTTTCCATATGACTGATACAAAATATGATGTGCTTATACAGCGGCTTAAAAAACATAAGCACTCTTGTCAGTCAGCAAAGACCTTTAAAAATAGGTAAATGGTTCCTTTAGTCAGGTTAAATATTGAGGCAGCCTCTGTTTTGAATTCACATTGAACAAAAAGATTGCTTTAGAAGGAGGGGCAGCCTGCAGACATCTCTCCATAACAAAGACTGAAGCTGTGTCGCACGCAGTCCATCAGTGTAGAAGATGAGTTAAGGTGTGAGTTGGTGTCATGATCAGTTATGAGGACTTTTAAGCAGTTACTGTATTTACACTGAAAGAGAGTATATATAAAGGGACACTTTGATGTAAGCCATTGACCTAAGTGTGAAGCTTGGCTATAGGACTGGAACCTAGATCTTGGTGGGAGCTCAGCAAAGTGTTCTAGACTCAAGCGTCAGCTACTGCAGAAGAACATAGAAACCACTCTGCAGCCAAACCACAACAAAAGATAGCTGTATAGTGAGATATTTCTCTGTATCTCCAAATAAATTCAATATCTTCTTAAGATTTGTAATAAACTCTTTCTTTTTTTAACTTAATGCCTGTCAAGTGTTAAGAATGACTTGAGGGTGTTTGCCAAACTTCAGGTAAAACTTTTCCTGGTAAATGAAGAATGGGCATATGTTGTCCTGCCATCATCATGGCAAACATCCCACCCAAGTTCTGCCACCAGGGAAGTTTGCAAGGATACCCTTTCGCTGCAGGTGTTGCTGGTCATACAAGGTGCTCGTCAGGAAAAAAGAGTCTGCCTTTGGCAAATACTAGCCAGCATCTCACTGGGCATATAGCAAGCAGCACAGCAGGAGGAAGGTCTAACAGTTGAACAACCATTCAGACTTGTGTCAGACTACGTAGATATTTAAGCAGAAGCATGGAACAGGAGACTAATTCTGTGACATTTCTAATGTAGGGTGAGTTATAATATTAGAAAAACCTGTGGGCAGAAGGAAGACTGGATATTCAGAGAAAAGTAAATTTGTATGAACAGCAGTCACAGAGCTTTCAGTCAGCTGTTAGAGACTTCAGTTTCTCTGGTAGTTGAGGATATAAATACTTGCCTTTGAATGCTCCATTTGGCTATCAAGTAACATGATACTGAAGTCTTCCTTAACAGGAGTGTTATCCTATATATGCACACTCTTAAGTAGCATAAAACATTCTTGCAGTCAGTTCCTTGAAAATGCATTAACCTTCCATGTAAAACATGCACTCATGGCTACATAAAGAAATATACACGTTTTTCAGAGATGTCTCATTACATACACACATTTTCAGAAAATCCAGACTAATCCTCACAATTATCATCCGCAACATAGTGACTGCACCAATCCAGGGGACCAGCAGGCTGATGTAGCCAAGAGAAGGGCCCTGACCCCACACTCCTTAAGGGAGCGCAATGTATTCTCCCAGCCATGCCACATCCTCGGGTTCTTCCCTTCCTTCAGGGCAACGCACATCTTCCAGACTATTCGAAGAAGTAGTCATCCGAGGAAGTCTGATGACTGCATTCCAACAGCTTATGCCGAGGGAAATATTCTGTATTGCTGCCGTGCTTCCCGTGGTATCTGCACCGTGGCACACCTGCTCTAGGACTCTAATACTGCATGAAAGAAACATTGGCAGCCTTATTCCAAATGAGGAAAAAGCCCTATATTTAGACATTGTCAGAATCTAACACTAAAAATGTGTCGTAAACACATGCTACCGTGAAAAACAGGAAGGTGCTCTTCTGTGCTTGCATACTTTTACAGTTGGTAATTTTTATATCAGTAAGTAATCACACATAAAGTTTTATCGTGAATCAATACTTCCCCCAAAGGATTTTTTCCCATTAAAGAATGTGCGTTCTAATCCAGACAGAAAACTCTAAGTAAGGATTGATCGAATGGAAATGGAACGGAAAATCTAAAAACATGTCTTCTTTAGGGTTCAGCTACAAATAAGCCTTGACCCTTTGGCTGCAAACTTATCATCACAAATTGCTCCATGAGACAAGTAAACTAACAGAGCTTCTAAACTCGTAGAAATGATGATGGATATGACTGTCAATAGGTTTGCACTTCTCTAAAAAATAGGTAGCTTACTTCCTCAGTAATGGGTGACAGGAAAACACAGTATTCCCAAGGGTATGTCCAATTGTGATCCAAAACTAGCTCTTTTCCATTTTGTTTTGTGCAATAACTGGCTTCTGTAGCATACAAATACTTTCAAAGGTCCCCTATATATGCAGACTTTAATGATTAACCGGTGATTGCTAGTCTATTTTTTCAACGAGCTGTCATATCCTATTTGAACGCAAGGCTGTTTCGTACAACTGGACTAATAAAGGGATGCAGGAGGCATGTATTAAGAAAATAAACACATGTATTTTGTCTATGAGCTCAAAATCTCCCAGGCATCACCTCTAAAGCATGCTATACACTTATATAAGTCTATTTGTTAATTGAAGTATTATTTTAGCATAATTCACTACTATTTTGGCAAAGTGTGACATTTACAATGCATTGCTTCTCTATTTTGTGCTTTGAACTGAATGCTTGGATTTCCAATAATGGGAATGCTGCTAAAATTATGCTATTAAAGTCTCTTGGAAAAAGAGGTAAGCTTCACGAGCTCTTGATTTAATTATCACAGTAGAGTTATACAACATTTTCGTAAGGGACTGCAGGGAAATAAGACTTTCTCTGTGCATCGGTGCCTTGATATATTTTGATTCACTGCACCAAACAGTAACAGTGTTTGTTTAGCATCCAGAGTACAAAATAGTAAAAAGAAAGGTCACGTTTTAAAATTTTCACTGCGTGACTGTGAGTCACTGTAGATTTGCTAGATGTCTAGCTTTTAATCATTTAAATCCTTTCACACTGAATTTCCTAAAGATTTTCATACAGGTTTTTCAGCCATAACTAAAGGGAGATTGACTTCCAGAGGGATTCCGGCATCAACTGAAAAGCAAACTGTCTGGCATTCACTAATTAATACTGAAAGACTGGGAAACTTTTTCACCTAAGTAAGTTCACTTTATGACTAACCCGCTGCTTTCTACACAAAGAAAGGCAGCTTTTTCGTTCCATTTTATGATTTTTTTCTCACGTCAAGTTGTTTAAATGATAAAGATGAATCAATCTTCCTTAACATAAAAAAAATCTTTTTTTATATACATATATATACATACAGCTGGAAGTGCTATATACTGACTTCATGCATATAGAAATATACAGTGTCACTGCTGTTAAGAAAGCCTATCAAAAATCTTAAAAGGGTAACCAAAAGCTATTTTATTCTCCTTTCTGAAATGCAGTATATACATCATTATAACTATTTGAATGTTTTGGTGGACAGCCACAGATCTCTTATTACTAAACTGACATGCATGTTTATATCTAAGAAGATACCAAGATTTGCCAACACTCTTACAGAGCTGGAAATTGCTTTTTCCTTTTCTTCCCCACATGGAGATCAGAAAATCTACCAAATCCTTCGTCAGTAGCTAGGGATTCCTGGAAACAAGGAGGCCGTGAAGACTCTGAACACCTCCTCGTGTTGCTGAGAGCAGTGCACTGGCAAAAGAAAATATACCCGTGTGCCACAGATATCAGGACATGATAGAAGGTAACAAAATGTCACACAATACTTTCTATGTCTGTTAACATGACTCTCAAGCACGATTAAGATTATGGTTACTGAGTATTATCATGTGTTGGGGAAAGAGATCTGAAGAAAAGCTATGCAACACCCTAGAATATTTTCACCATACGTGCAAGCACAGTTTCCCTCTATTGCTAGAATGTTTTTTCACCTGATCTTGCTGGAAGAAACTAGAATTTAAGGCCTGCCCTACATTTCCTGCATAGGAGTTACAGACATGAGTAGCTGTGGAAATTTCATATAGCACAAGAATAGGGGGCATCTTATCAGTAAGAAAAGAAAAAAGTCTATCCCATAAACCTCCTGAAGAAAAGAAGTTCATACCAAGCGGGATATGTCTACTGTTCTCAATCTCTTAGATATTAATAGTGATGTGAGTGATTTTACATCTGTCCCCTGTGAAAACGTTCTAGCAAAATCACACAATCTACTCACATGATAATCATTCAGGACGCCTTTAAAAAAAGGCCAATGATTCAGCCAGGGGAAGAGGAATACATTTTCTCTTACCCTGAAAAACAATTTCTTTAAGTCAATTGTAAGATCTCACTTCTTGCTAGTATGGGAAAAGACACTACTGGGAAGTAAATTTTGTTTTGGATAATTTTCTGATCTCCATCACAAATGGAGTTGAAAACAACACACCTTAAAAATAAAGATCTGTTTCTTATTTCTTACTCTTGTGTGCATGAATTAAGATTGCCAACACCAAGCTCAAAAATATTCATGTAGTACAGATGCTAAATACATTCAGCTTTCACAAGATTCCACAAAAAAGATCAGTAGCTTTTCACCTACAATATTCCTTATGTTTTTGGTTTTTTTTACATATACATGTTTTGCATGCAAAAACTCAGAAATGCTAGAATTCAAAATGCACGTATTGGACAATCATTTATCCTATTATTATTAACGCAAACACATTTTGCATTATGCCTCAATTCTTGCATGTGCAAGTGTTTTAGTAAAAAACAGACTGGATTTGCAAAAACTTTAGTTCAATACTTTTTACGTGTAATTTTCAAGGTATATAAGGTAGGGTGAACGTTCGTTATTATAGCATGGTATCAACCAATGTGGACAGTTCTTTACAGTATGCATTGCTGTATCATAATTGAATTCTTTCATCTTCACTGGTGCATACTTTAATTCAGAGAACATTTTCCAGACTATTTTGTTTGCTACCTAGAATATCCAATAAGATACATTTCCTTTAAAAGCACCATGCAGATCAGCTCTAGCAGCTTATGTTCTGCATCAGAATTCCTTGAACACAAACATGCAAAGGCTTCTGCAGCCAAAACATTTTGCTTGAATAGTGGAAAATCGCAATTAGATATTCAAAGCCATAAATACGAACACTGTAGCTGGAATTATCTATTATATTATTTATGTTACCTTAGACATCGAGTAGAACTGCTTGATGATGAGTATTACTTACTGAAGCACAGAACCAGAAGAGAGACGTTCTAACAGGTGCTTTCCCACTAAGCTGAATATAAACCCGTGCTAAGTATCTGTAAGGCTACACCAACACGCTTTCAAACTTGTACATTTGAAGGTGTGATTTAGGAAAGATACTATCAGTGTTACCACTGAAAATCTGAATTATACAGGGAGGGAGAGAGAGAGAGTCCTTTGCTTTATGTCAGTGCTACATGTGCCCCTATTCCTTATCACAAGAGTCTAGCAATTAGAATGTATCTTTTTCCTGAAACTTTATCAACCCAGTAAATTAAAGAGGCTTTCTCTTTCTTGTGCTTAAGTATCAGTTATCTGTGTTTGCAGTAAGAGAGTCCAAAATATCACCTGCGAAGTGGAAGATGGAGGAAGCAAGGACAGAGAGACATCATGGGCTCAACTGAAAGCACAAAAAATCTCTAGAAGGTCCCCTTGCAGCACAAAGGCTGTAAAGACTCCTAGAAAACAATCCCCGAGGCAGTGGGGGCTCCAACAGACCCCAAATGGCCTTGACCACCTTGCCTAGGACCCCCACCCACCCCATGTCAGCTCAGGACAGGCACCCTCAGCTCCCAGCTTGTGCCTCTCATGCAGCTGCTCCGCTGCTGTTGCTCCCTGACGAAAGTAAATATCTTGCAAGAAGGGGTTCATTAGACATTTCTATTCACTTAGTGCTCTCTGCTTATTTTATGACTATAGCATTTGTTTTTAAGAGGTCCAAAATGGCAGAAAGATACACCTTCAACAGTCAATATTTTAAATTTTCTCTTCCAGTGTGTGCCTGCTTCATGTGCAGACCATTTATCCAGTGTAACTATTGCCTTA